AATCCCTCGTTTCAGCGCGATATCGGATTGGAAGTCCCAAGGCCTGAAGACTATCCGCAAGGTGAGCGCCGACCGCGGGGGAAGAGCAGACGAGGGCGCTCTTGCAACTGATAGTCAAGCCCGGCTTGTCAACCTCTTGCGCGAACAGCGTCGCAGCAGGCAAGACGTGGGTAAAGAGCTCCTGCTCCGCACCAGCCATTTTCTGAGCGCTATCATCAACATAGGCCCGTGAGATCACTCGAGACATTTCACCATTCACCTGAGAATGCGCAGCCTCCAGGGCCTCATAAACGTAGATTTTGACCCACGCCATACTCTGGGAACAGCCAGGTAAAACCCCCCTCCCCGCGGACACCACGCGGGAAACGTGACCTTCAACCTCTAACATACGGGGGGCCGTATGGATGAGCATCCCAAGGTACAACAGATGGGGTGGGCGTTTCATGCGCAGGGCCAATCGGATGAGCAATCTCGGGCTCACCGTGTCAAAAAACTTCGTAAGATCCCAATGGATCGCAACAGAAATAGCCCCTTCATGTCTGGCACGCTCGTGGTACAGCTCCCGAACAAGCGCCGCTCGGAGAGCCGACGATCCCTTGACCGCCGTGTCCCAGAACGCCGCGTGGTCGGCAGTCCACGCATCGATACCCCCCCCCCCAATTTTGGCGCAAAGTCGGCACAGGGTGGGGCGCTTACAGACGGGGCGCCCATCAGTCTGAGACTTGGGCAACAACGCAATCAGGCCGGGCAAGATTTGAGCTGGCCAAGCCATACTCCGTTCGCAAAGGGAGTGCAGAGAGGCCAGGGCGCGAAGGGCCTCGGCAGGGAGCTCAGCCACCGCCCGAGGTCCCCACCCATCAACGCCGACGGCCGTTGTCGCCGAGAAAAAATTGCACGCTTGAGTGCATGGGGCGGAGATGGGGGGAAGGTCGTTCACATGCTCCAGAGCCACGGCACGGAGGTCAGACATGGCGTCACCCAGCCTCAATATCTCATCCTCCGACACAGACCAAAACCCTCCCCACAAACGGGCCCGATACTCCATAATTTCTTCAGGGGGCTGCTTGACGCCGTCAGGGAGGGGTAAAATATCCAACCACACTTCGATTGTCACGCTTCAACCAGGAACGCACCCCCTTGGCACCATGTGGGATGGCGCGCAGCAGCCAGGCCTTAAGGCCTTTCGAAGACTCCGCCTTAGCTGCCGTCCAAGCACGCTTCAAAACCTCGGAAGTAAGGTCAACGAGGCGATCCACCATATCGAGATCCCCTAGCGCCGCAGCGGTGACCTGATCGGTTCACCAGGGGGAAGGCTGAGCTGGTGGCAGTGCCTCGGAAAACCCGCCGACGCGGCTGACCATGTCCATGATCAGCCCGCAGACGTGGCTCTCGGTGGATCGCCGTCGCAACAACGTGCGGAGCTCAAACAGCTTGGCGGATAACCGAGACCAAAACGCCAACGTCGGACAACGAAAAGATGTGCCCATGCCACCTTTATGCGTGATCGTCGATGTAGCAAATGTCATAGCATCCCCTCTCCCCATGTACGCATGCTCCTCATCCTCATTGATGGCGGCACAGGCACGCGAAAGAAACAAACGTTCGGTAGCACGCGACCAGAGGGAATACTGTACAGATATCTGATCATCGAGATGCTCGACAGCATGCGGGATGAGATGGGCCATCTGCACAGAACACATACTCAGCGGCACACGGTCGGAACACATCACTTGATGAAGGTGGCGCCGCCACGGTAAGTCGGGCCCGTGACACACTGGAATAACTCGAGGGCGTACTCGCCGATCGAGGCGCTGAACCAACACTCGGTGAGCTAGCTGGATGCGGAGTGCACGATGTGTTTTAAAGGGGGACGGTTCGTACACTCCAACCTGGACGAACGGGGCCAGATCCTCCGAGACCAACGCATAATCGATCATCGTCCCTGATCCTTGTGAACACGTGAAATCGACTCCCATCGGTGCTAATACCCGAGCGTGAACAGACTGCGGATATCCAGAGAGCCACATCGTTTCAACCTCGATATTGAAGTCCCCGACCAACATCCAGGGAATCCCGAGAGCACGAACGAACTCGGCGATACCCCGCATTTTGGACAGGTTCTCCCCCGCGACACCCAGGCACGAGACAAAATAACAAACTCCGACCGCAATGGTCGCTTTCTGGGTCTTGAGTTCGAGAAACATCCAACCTGGGCCCGGCCCAATGTCGGAAACTCCGCCCGCATGGGCAAGAAAACGTTTAAAATACAGGCTCTTACTGACGACCATCCCGACCCCGCCGTGAGTCCCCCCTCCCTTAGTAGGCACGCCTGCCTGCAGATGGGGCCTCCAGCCCATGGCTGCAATCTCTCGCTTCGCGGCAGGCAACGCTTGCTGCTGCAATCGGTGCTCACAAAAGAGAAAAGCATCAACCTCTGGGCAAATGGCAGACGCAAAGTCCTTCGCAATCTTGGACCAGCTCGCGACGTTACAAAACACCA